CAGTGGACTCTAGACTGTGCCCCCTAGGCTGGGCCAATGCTCTTCTTATTGACAAGTTTCTGTCCCAATGTTACAGGTGATTATTTTACAGATTACTGCAAGTGACACTAAAACAAACGATTTCCACTTTATATAATATGAAGAACTATCATTCTAGCTTCCAAAATCACTTTCATCCACCTTCACTTATGTGTAGAATTTCAAGATGCTGATTTCTGTCTTAAGGATGGATGCTAGTCTACACTGTGATAAGAACCATCTCTCAAGATAGTAGTAGGGACTAGCAGAAGGCATAATGGTTACATCGCTGGACGCTCACATAGTCAACTGCGGTTCAAGACCCAGACCCAGTGGCTTAAAATTCACACTGGGCACATGTGCAGCCATGCCCAAGATCCCGAGAGAAGAATGGAGGAGAAGGGATTGAGACATGGCCATCCCCCTTGGGGAATGATTTCTCGCTTTCTGTCTCTCTGTCTCTCCAGTGAGCACACACACCCTGTAGCAAAAATCTCTCTCTCTCTCTCTCTCTCTCTCTCTCTCTCTCTAAAAAAAAAATATATATATATATCAGTAACTGAAGACCAAAAAATAAGAAAAGAAAAAAGTTTCTTGTTCATGAAAAATCTAAGGAAAGGAAGATGGGTTTGTGGGGCACCTTTGACCCAGAGCTTCAAATTATTACATCTTATATCTCTGCCATCCCAGAACATTTATTTACAATGTCACAAAAGATAAAAGTAAGAAATAAAGAGCCAAAAATCTTGTGGAAGATTTCAGGGACCAAGCTTCGAAATGATCTCTTTTACTATTGTCTACACGTCATATTGACCATAAAAAGTCTAACTTTAAGATGGACTGGGAAAGATATGCATACTCTGTACTCAGGAAGGAGAAGCAAGTTAGTGAGCTATCGTCATAACACACTGTGCTCGTAGTTGATATTTTCAAGTATATGTTTTTATATTTCTTTCCTCTTCTTATATTCTAGGTATCTCCTTTGGAAATATTAAATTTTGGGGGTTTTTTTTTGGGGGGGAGAGGTTTTTGCTATAGGGCATGTGTACCCGCCAGATAGACAGAGAGACAGAAAGTGAGAAATCACCCCCCAGGAGGGATGGCCATGCCGCAATCCCTTCTCCTCCATTCTCCTCTCGAGATCTTGGGCAAGCACACACACACGTGCCCGGCGTGAGCTTAAGCCACCAGGTCCAGGACACGAACCACAGTCGACTATATGGGAGTCCAGCGAAATAGCCATCACGCTAACTGCTGGTCCCAGGGTCTTGTATTTCTCAGGCCATCTTCAAGTTCATTAGCATTCTGCTTTAGACTTCCTGGGTCTCTAGGATTACAGATGCCCACCACTTCACCGGCTTTTAGGTTGGACCTGAAATTGAACCTGGGCCTCTCATGTGGTCCCAGCTCATGGAGGACAACACCTTGGCAGTACCACACCACTGCTGCTGGGTTTTCCACCCTATTCTTTGTTGAAATATTCTAATCGTCTTCTTCTTCTTTCTCTCTCTTTTTTTTTTTTTTTAATATTTTTTTGCTACAGGGCATGTGCACTTGAGCACATGATAGACACAGAGCAAGAAAGTAAGAAATCACCCGCCCCCCGGGGGATGGCCATGCCTCAGTCACTTCTCCATGCACACATGCACGGCATGAGTTTTAAGCTGCCAAGTCTGGGACTTGAAACATGGTCACTATGTGGGAGTCCAGCAACGTAATCATTATGCCATCTGCTGGTTCCTAAATTTTCTAATTTTCTTAAAAAATGATCAACTTACCTATATCTTTTTTTTCTGCTGCTGTTATAATTTAGAAGCTATACATTCTTCTTCTATAGATAATAACTCTATATTCTAATTTAAATTATTTCTTAAAATTACTAAATCAAATCTATGTTAAGCTTATTACTGTCCAGTGCTTTAGTTTCTCTTATTTTAAAACTCACAGATTAGTAATGATATAATGATAGTGATTTCTATTTTACCACAAAAATCATTAGTTGCTTAGATTTACACACACAATTATTGTTTTTCCTTCTTTTTTCTCTCAGCATTTCTTTTTATATTTTAGTTTTTCTTTCTGTAATCAACTTTATTCTCCCTGAAGCACATAAGGTTTTTTTTTAAATGGCATAGTGTGCATTTTGTCTTTTTTTGGTCCAAATATGTCCAAATGCTTTAATCTATATGATTAAAATAATGGAAATACTATTAAGTTTTCCTCTGGTCAAAGTATTTTTTTATGGTATGTAAATAGAATAAAGGATTAGAGTCAGATACATACTATTTTTTTTTCTTAAAATTATTTGGAAAAAAGTTGTCAAAATACAAATTAACCTCAACCACAATTAGCATATTTTAATCCCACCATCAAAGTCCTAATAAAGACATACTATTAATTTTCTCTCCACATATCCTTCAGACATTCATTGGCATTCAGTGTAAAAGTAAACGGTGCATTATAGAATAAACCTCAGAACTTTCAAGAATATAGTCTAGAAATAACAGGCTTCAGTGTTCTTTTAGAATATATTTCTGATTATCCGATCATCTTACTATTTTATATTAATTTTTCTAAGTCTATGTACATTATAATAGAATGTGTAATTTTTTCCTGACCCCAAAAACTTTATTTTCCTCATTTGCAGAGCTTTCTTATTTAAGAAGCTCAAGAAATAGTCTAACAGGCAAATAACCTGACAAAAGCAATTTGTCAATGTCCAAAGAATTATCCTTCTTCAAAGATGATCAAAGATATCTGGCCTTGAAGAAAAAAATGAGTCAGAACTAGGCTACACTCAACCGATCTAAATATCTTATCAAGCCATGTTTTGCTCAATTCAGAAACATTACTTTTGAGACCATCCACCTTTAAAATAAATGCTAAGTCAAGAAGATGTATTATTTTACTGTAAACTTTGACATTATAGAATATGAATTGACTTGAGCAGACTAAAAACCCATTCAAGTCATAGAGGATACTTAGGATTCAAGTTGGTCTCTAAGTATTTTAAAAATGCATGGATTAAGAAAGTTAGGGAAACCTAACACCAAAAAGAATGCGGATGGCTTTATCTAGATAATTTTTTTACCTGTTAGACTTTCCAGAAGGAAATGATATCTAATATTTGTTTACAACAATTGCTTATGTAAGTATACATTTAATGCGACTTACATGTCCCAATAAAGGCTGAAGATGTCAGTTTATTGCTGATCACAAATATAATTCACAGAAATATATTGGGTCATGGGGGAAATCATGACACATTCTTGCATTAAAAAAAAAAAAAAAAAAAACAGAAAAATATGTCATGACTTTCCCAATGACCTAATAATTCATTCCTATTGAAACGTCTCTGTTTAGGATAGCTGAACTATATAAAGCATTTATTTAAAAATTGCTGTAAATTGTGTAAATGGATCATCAGTGTTTAAAAGTTAAGCCTTAATTATCTGAAAATTAACCCAAGTGGAATTCCTCTCCTGCTGCCTCATCATAAATGAGGCATTGTTGGTTTCTTTTAGATTTATACTTGACCAAATGAACAATTTTAATATTAAAAATTTCAACCTTCATGATATCTTTGTAGTTCTAAGGGAAAAAATAAAAACCAAAGTAAAAATGTGAAGGTCCACCCAGACACAGAAAGCATACATTGTATAATAAATACAAAATGGGTCTGAACTTACCTGCGCTACTAGAATCGGGGATCCTAGTTATCCTGGGGTAAGGGGAGAGAGAGTGAAAGACAAGGAGTATGAGAGATATTGTTAATATTCTATTTTTGGGCTGGACTGTTAAATCTCAAGTTTATCTGGCTTGTAAAGATTCATTGACCTATATGCATGTATCACATGTGCCCTTCTATATATGCATATTATGAATCAATAATAAAGTTTTTAAAAAAAAATGTTAAAGTCCTGGGACCAGCAGTTAGCGTAATGGCTATGTCGCTGGACTCCCACGTAGTCAACCGCGGTTTGCGTCCCGGACCCAGTGGCTTAAAACTCAGGCCGGGCGCGTGTGCGTGCGTGCCCAAGATACTGAGAGGAGAATGGAGGAAAAGGGATTGCGGCGGGGCCATCCCCCCTGGGGGGTGATTTCTCGCTTTCTATCTCTCTGTCTCTCTCTGTCTGTCTGGAGAGTGCAAGTGCCCTATAGCAAAAACCTCTCCAAAAAAAAAAAGAAAAGAAAATGTTAAAATCAATATTTGAGCCATTGATATCCAGCTGCTCTGTAGTGCTCTGTAGACACTTACAATGCTCAAGACTGCCTAGGCCTCAAGGCTCACTTAAATGAGTGTCAAGAGAGTAGCTGTAAAAGACAAGACATATTGATAAAATGTCTTTAATCTTGACTTTGCTGATTAACACAGTAATGTTAAACATTATTTTTATCAGTCATGGAACATACAGAATGAAATAAAATGGCATTAGATCTCAATGCAAGTAGACTGGAAAATAATTAGCTTTGTTCAGAATTGTACTGCATGAATTTTTAATTTTTTTCTCTAGTCTATAAATTAGAGTATTCTTTGTAATTTTAAGATAGATTTTTTAAAAAAAGAATTATTTTATTCAACTTTACTTATTCATTTATTTTTATTTTACCAGAGAGAGACAGAGTGAAAGAGAGAGTGAGAGAGAGAGGGAAGATGAGAAAGCAAGCCACCAGGTCTGGAACTTGAAGCACAAGTCAACCTTGTGGGAGTCCAGCACTCTTAACCATCATGCCACATGCCAGCTCCCTAAGATAGCGTTTTAATGAATGATTATTAAAGCTGAAGTGGATCATACGGGAAGAAAGAATTCAATTAATGGTAGGAGTCTAGATGAAACTACATTCTGGATTCACCTTTACAATCATTGTTTTAATCTGTTAGATGTCTAGGGAGAATCATCAAATTTTCAGGTAGTTATCTCACCTTCATTCTATCAGAAGTCCCCTTGGTAAGAGAAGTCTGTCTCTTTACTTCCTAACAGAAAGAAAAGAAGAAGCTTGCTATTCAACCAAGTAAGGGCTCCAGGGAGAAGAGAGCTGCCACCGTTGATAGCCCTCCACCATCCATGTCATCAGTTATGAAGAATAACCCACTATATGGTGATATGAGTATGGAGGAAGCTATGGAAGAAAGAAAAAAGAGCCCTTCATGGACCATTGAGGAATATGACAAGCATTCCCTGTACACAAACCTCTCTGAATGTCTGAAGGTACTCGACTGATGACCACCTCCTTCGACTGATGGGGGAGAGCAGTTAGAGAATCCTAACAGGGGTGGGTGCTGAGATGACAAGCATGCTTTATGAGACACAAAATCTCCAGATTCCAGCTCATGTTAGTCCCTGGTTTTGCTTTCTCCTTCCTAGTCAGCCTAGGTGTTTGTTTGTTTGTTTGTTTGTTTGTTTATTTATTTATTTATTTATTTATTTATTTAT